TGTTGTCGGACACGAAAAAAGACAAAAGACAAAAAAAAAAAAAAAGAAAAAAAAGAAAAAAAGAAAACAAAATCAATACTATATGTGTTATAGGCTTTTATATGAACAGTAGTTGGCATGTAAGTAGGGATTCAACTAATGTTATTTTCCTAACCTAACTATGTAAAGTAGTCCCTCAGAGTGGAGAGAAAACCTTATAAACTATAAAGCACTTAAATACTCAAATATATTTTTTCCTTAGTGTGAATTATTTATAAGTACTACACTGGGATTTTCTGATTTAAGTTGCAATTAGATCTTTAGCCTCATCTCTGAGGGAACCTGCAATTCCCTTACCAACTCTCTGAAACCAAAACCTTCCAACAGCAGATAATACTGAGGGTCAGGGCCTTGCTGAGCAGTTGGGAACATGCCATAATGTTACTTCCTAATCCTGAATAGCCTGGTGAAAATTACCTGGATGGAGAAAGAGCCAAAGCAAAAGCATTGCATCTCATAGCACTGCAGAGGACACAGCAATCAGAAAAATCAACTCTATGTTCAAGGGACATGGAGACCAATGGCTGAGCAAGGAAAGGACAGAAATTACTATGATGAAGAATGTAGCTTTCATAAGAGAGACAAAATGTTTCAAGGATTTGAAAAAAATGTGAGTGCTAGGAGGTGAGAGGAATAAAGGAAATTCATATCAAGCAAGTACTAACTATATAAAATTTGGTATACTTTTGGGGCCGGCCCGGTGGCGCACTGGATAGTGCGCCGCTTGGGAAGCGCGGCAGCGCTGTAAAGTAGTCCCTCAGAGTGGAGAGAAAACCTTATAAACTATAAAGCACTTAAATACTCAAATATATTTTTTCCTTAGTGTGAATTATTTATAAGTACTACACTGGGATTTTCTGATTTAAGTTGCAATTAGATATTTAGCCTGAATAGCCTGGTGAAAATTACCTGGATGGAGAAAGAGCCAAAGCAAAAGCATTGCATCTCATAGCACTGCAGAGGACACAGCAATCAGAAAAATCAACCCTATGTTCAAGGGACATGGAGACCAATGGCTGAGCAAGGAAAGGACAGAAATTACTATGATGAAGAACGTAGCTTTCATAAGAGAGACAAAATGTTTCAAGGATTCGAAAAAAATGTGAGTGCTAGGAGGTGAGAGGAATAAAGGAAATTCATATCAAGCAAGTACTAACTATATAAAATTTGGTATACTTTTATGTAGACTTTAAGAGATCATCTTTTGGAAGAGAGAAGGCCACTAGATATCTCAAGAGGTTTAATTCAAAGAGAAATATTTTAAATGTGTCATTTTAAATATGCTCAAACATGACAGAAGGCGGGAGTGGGATGGTGAATCTAAGAAGATGCTATTGATAAATCCAAATTGCAGTGGTAGTTTCAATAGTCTCAAGCACTGAAAGGTCAATCAGTTCAAATCAGCAAAGACAAAGTAAAAGTTTATTTATTCATATAAATCAAATTCAAGTTCATTTGTGAGGAATCACACATAGAGCCACCTAAGTTATCTTGTTGGCCTAAAGACCAAAGTAGGAAACAAACCAAGACTTACTGGGGAAAAATAG